ACTTTATACCTGACCTGGGCCAAATAGCTTCCTTACAGAGAATGTTGTGAAAACTTTTGGAATATTGTGTTCAGTTCTGGTCTACCTACTGTAGGAAAGATGTTGTTAAACTGAAAAGGGTGCAGAAAAGATTTACAAGGATGTTGCCAGTTTTGGAGAGTTTGAGCTATACACAGGAGGCTGAATAGGCTGGGGCTATTTTCCCTGGAGCATCGGGTGACCTTTATAGACGTTTATAAAATCATGAGGACCATGTATGGAGTGAATAGCCAAGGTCTTTTTCCTAGAATAGGGGAGTCCAAAGCTAGAGGACTGACTCAAGGTGAGAAGGGAAAAATTTAAAAACGACACAAGAACAACTTTAATGCAGAGGGTGCAGCGTGTATGGAATGGGCTGCCAGAGGAAGTGGTGGAGGCTGGTACAATCATGACATTTAAAAGGTATCTGGATGGGTACATGAATAGGCAGGGTTTAGGGGGATATGGGTCAAATGCTGGCAAATGGGACTGGATTCATTTAGGATACCCGGTTTGTATCTGATTTTAGTGATGAATGGAGTTTGTTGATAATGCAGCTGAAGCTGTTTGGATCAAGTGCCCTCCCCTGAGAGTATCCTGCATTGATACCCTGGGGCAAAGGTGGTTAGCCTCAGATGGACACATTCATCTATTTTGTTACATCTGCTATGGCACTATGTAGTATGAGCAATTTGTCTCCAAACATGCAGAAAATACCTGGATTTTAATTGAGTTTAAATGTATTATCATCCGATTTGGAGAGGAGTGTGACTACTAGTCAAAATTTATGACTTGCTATTTGAGATTTATGAAAACTGCAATCTGTTTCAATACATCTTACTTATAAAGTGATGTTTCATAAATGTACGTCAGTAAGTTAATTGCAGAGCTATCTTTATCCCCTTATACTCTACATATACTTGAAAATTTTAGAGTCAAGGACCAATGTAATAGATGTGACATTTTGTCCTTTTTAGTTTGTGATAGACTTTACCACAATTTCAGTCAGACAGCTGGATTCCATTTAAAATGATATTATGTGTAACTTGTAATCAGGTGATTGGAATTTTTATTGTTAGGTCTGTGTTGATTTTCCAATATAGAAGAGACGATTTAGAATGAAGTGGGTCAAGTGGCTCATGTGACAGTGGGGAAACATTTACGGGATAATCATCATTGTATTGTAAGGTTTAGGATGATGGTGCAAATTGAACTTAGTCAGTCCTGAGAGCGAGTAATCAACTGATGGAGAACTAACTTCAGTGGGGCAAAAACAGAACTGGACTGTAAAAATTAGAATCAAAGATTAGTGGGGAAAAAAATAATAGCTGAACAGGAGGTTACTACTGAAGAGGAGATGGCTCTGACCTCATTGAGGGTTATTACCTCGAGGCTGGGGAAACAAATCCAGACTTCCCTGGATGACAAAGCAGTTAGAAATTAATTTAAAGAAGAAAAGCTGTGCTTTGACAAATGTCAAGTAGTAAACACAGTTGAGAACCATGCAGAATACAGAAGTATCAGAACAGAGACACAAAGCAAATACGAAAAGCAACGTGGAATTGTGAAAGACATTGGAAAAGGGGATTCTCCTAGTTTTTTTTTGTATAAGCATGTATAAGTGAAAGGTTGATGAAGGAATAGCTCTAATATGAGCATATCCAGTTGGAGGTTTACCACCATTCAGGCACCTCCGCCCGCCCCCCGACCCCCCAACTGACACACGCGCACGTGCGCACACACCTGGATACAGTTTTACTATGTTCAAAACTGGTCTGTTTGTTTTGTGTATCCTTCGTTTGTGCAATGATTTCCTTTTTAATCTTCAATTTCTTTCACATACTTTTATTTTTATATTTGTTTTTCTTTTTAATCAAATGTAAAATGGATTCATTAGCTGAATTGTGAATTGAATTGGCAAAAAGGAAATTCTTTTGAGGTGATTTAATTGCAATTGTGGAGCTTTCCGTCAGCAGACAGAACAAATTTTGTTCAGGCAATCTATTTCTTGAGCATGTAATACCTTTATTATTTTTCTGGTCAGAAGCTTAAGATTATAAAATCATGAAATAAAAGTGCAATTTTAAGTAGTATAACTAATGATTTACTTTTAAAGCTACAGTGTCTTCTGCAATATGCAAGTTCATGGATTATTACTGTGATTCTTTTGGTGAACTATCAGAAGTCAGTCCCCGAAATAAAATCTGACTCACTCCTGCTTATTTCTTCCTGCTTTCTGTCCTCCACACCTCCCACTCCTCAACCTGAGTGCATGACTATTACTACAAAAACCTTCCCATTGGTTGCCCATGAGGTCACTCTGTATGCGTCAGCTTGGATACTGATCATCTCTCGCTTAGTCGACTGGTGATGTCACAGATGGACCCATCAAATCCAAACAGTCTGACCATGGTTATTTGTTTCTGACTGGGATCTTTTTTAAACTTGCCCCCACTTGGACAGTGATTCCAATTTGTTTCGGATGTAGGTATGACATTTGAATAAGTGGATAATTGTATAAGAGATAACGCATGACACAGTATGTAGCTGTAATAGTATAAAAATCATGGCCGAGTTCCTATCATATCCTCATGTTTTCAGCAACAACTTCACTGCTGCTTTATTGTTAGATTGAGTGGGTCTTGATTACCTTGCAGTTATGTTCATATTTGATGTGGTTTTTCTGTTAAGAAGACCAAGTAGCTAGAGAGTTGATAGAATGATTTGAATGACTGCATTTGGTGGGTAGAATTGTCTTTCATCAGCACATGTAGTTTTTCAAGTTTTTATTTGGCTTTGTTGTTAACTATGCTGATATAGAAACATAGAAAAATAGGTGCAGGCATTCAGCCCTTCGAGCCTGCACCACCATTCAATATGATCATGCAATCTCAGTATTGCATTTCCGTCCTCTTCCCATGCCCCTTGGTCCCTTTTAGCTGCAAGGGCCACGTCCAGCTCCCTCTTGAATACATTTAATGAACTGGCCTCAACAGCTTCCTGTCAGAGAATTCCACAGGTTCGCAACTCTGAGTGAAGAAATTCTTCCTTGTCTCAGGCCTGAATGGCTTACCCCTTATTCTTAGACCGTGGCCCCTACTTCTGGACTTCTCCAACATTGGGAACATTTTTCCCACATCTGGTCTGACCAGTCCCATCAGGATTTTATATGTTTCTGAGATAAACCACCACCACCACCACCACCACCGTTCATCTACATTCCAGTGAATACAAACCCAGTTGATCCAGTCTTTCCTCATACGTCAGACCTGCCATTCCAGGAATCAATCTGGTGAACCTTTGCTGGATTCCCTCAATAGCAAGAATATCCTTCCTGAAACAAGGAGACCAAAACTGCGCACAATACTCAAAGCGTGGCCTCACCTAGGCCCTGTACAGGTGCGACAGGGCATCCTTACGCTGATATTCACATCCTGTTCTTATGCAGGAGAGCATGCCATTAGCTTTCCTCACTGCCTGCTGCACCTACATGCCAACATTCAGCGACTGTTCTACCATAACACCCAAGTCTTGTTGCCCCGACCTTTTCCTAAACTGCCACCAATCGGATAATAACTTCCTGTTTTTGCCACGAAAACGGTTAACCTCCACATTTATCCACATTATATTGCATTTGCCCACTCAGCCAGTCTGTCCAAGTCACGCTGCAGCCTCTTGGCATCCTCCTCACAGCACACACTGCCATCCAACGTAGTGTCATCTGCAAATTTGGAGATATAACAAAACAAGTGAAACCTATATTTTAGGGTGTTGCAAAAAAGTTCTCTGCTATTAAAGAAAAAAATAAATTCACTATTATTAAACCCATAAACCTCTTCCAAGTTTCTGAAACAAGTGTTGCCGGGTAACTGAGCCTGTGATGATGCATTTTTCTCTTGCCACCGGGGGAATCATTGCTTCCTGCATTATTCAAGCATATCTTTTATTAAATTATCACTGATGCTTGTTTTTAAAGTCTTATATAAAATAAATGCTTCTGTGCATGTGTCTCTTTTTATGATGTAAACTTGATATCAGATTGTTCATTATTCATATTGATGTTTAGATCTCTACTGCAGCTCATGAAAAGGGTGTCTGGTCAAACGTGTGTTAAGAAACAGTACTCTCGTTTTAATTCACGAGCAGCTTCCCAAAAAGATCATCTGACATAATATACCAGTAAAAGCACTAATATTGCCTTTGAACATGGCACCTGTTTAATATTGAGGCCAAAAGAGTCTGGAATAGATAATGAAGCGGACATTTTATTTGTCAAAGGAAATTGATGACGGCTGTTTGAGCCGTCCGGCTAACACCTCCTGTGAGATGCTTGAGGCAGACTCTTGCAGTGGGTTTTAATAGCAATAGGGATTGCCAATTACTTCCCTTTTTTTGATAGTGCCTTTGTCATTAAAGACTTTGAAACAGAGTTACAGTACCTTTTCCATCATTAGACTTGGGCATCTGCATTATTCTGTTTAGACTCTGACAGATACACTCCAGCATATCATGAGTATTTGTTTTAATGCTCAATACCCAATGAGCAATGTGTGCTTCGTCTCCTAGCACGTGAGAGCATGATTGATCATTGTCTGGATTGATTGCAAATAGAATTTGTTGAAGGAGAGGAGATGATTGCGATTTCTAAAGGGAGAGATGATGAGAAGACTAATCTGCAAAAAAAGTGTGCTCGTAAGTGATGGTTTATTTTAGCATAGGTGTGCGTGAACTAAAATGCTCTAAATGTAATATAGTAAAGAGAGTAGAACATATAATGGACGAAAGCTCAGAAATTTGCAGTCTTAGAGGTGTTTCTGATGTCGTTTTGAAAAGAAATAGGGGTCACCTGATAATAGAGCAGTGATGTGTAATGTTGAAACTGGCTCCTCTAATTGGCAGCTAAGGATAGATAAAGGCTTTATACTGAAGCGTATTTTGGAATGCTTCTGAGGAAATTTTCTTTATTCTTTAATCTAATCCAGATAAGAATTTTGATGAAGATGATTCGACGGATGGAAATAGGCCATCTTCTGCGAGCTCCACGTCTTCAAAAGCTCCAAGTTCACGGCGTACAGTTGGTACCAGTCGTAGACCAGGATCGTCTGCAGTTGGCTTGAGGACTGGTACAGGTAACTATAACTGATATAAACATCTGATGTATAAAATGCTGTATCTTTTTGCATAGTTTCCACTTCTTTAAACATAAAAATAAATTAGAACGTAGCAATGGGCATTCCTCCCAATTGGTCCGTATGAAAGGTAATGCGTGCAGACAGTTTTGAAAGCATTTGTTCAAGATGTTCGCCTACTTGTAATCCCTTTTTTTCTTCCATTATCCAGATGTGCAATAAAATTTTGTAAATGGTATTCTTAAACATCAAGAACTTGTAGTCAGTAGTGTTAGTGGGGGGAAAAAACGATGTGGAATAAAATCTAAACTTTCACATTTCTTTTATGCAGAATTTGTAGGGTAGCAGAAATTATTTTGTACTTTATTTGAAACCTGATATGCAATGTTTATCCTGCCTCCTCTACTCCCAAAAGAAATATATACTTTTAAAAGAAAGTGGAAATTCTGGGTGTGGCTGACACTTTGTCACTTTATGTTGCAATTTCTGCCTTTTAGAAAGGCGATGATACATTGGGATGTTGTAGTCTGGAAGCAGTAATAATGGCTAGTTTTTATTCAGTGTCATATATACTTTGATTTCTGAAGAAGTGCAAGTGTTAAAGGCACCAATCATTGGCAATAGTCAAATATGTAAATTCAGGCAATCCCCAGGTTGCAAATGGGTTCCATTCTGGAGTCGGTCTGCAAGTTGAACGCAATGCAGGACCACGGAAAGCTGCCATTTGAAAGTACAGGCAAAGTTTGTATGTTGGGTCTTCAGAATTTTTAATACCGTATATGAATTGTGCTCATAAGTATGATCATTCGTAAGTCGGAAGTTTATAAATCAGCAACACCTGTACTGTTCAACTTCACGTGCAGATCTTGCTTTTAAAACTGCCATCTGAAAATTGAGGATCACAGAATCATTCAGTGCAGAAGGGGCCCTTAGGCCCATCGTGTTAGTGCTGCCTAAAGTATACCAATGCCTCCACTAGTCCTACAGCCTTGAAAGTTATGGCTCTTCAAGTGCTCATCCAAGTACTATTTAAAGATTCTGAGGCTTCCTACCTCAACTACCCTCCCAGTGCACCCAGACTGCCCTCTGGGTAAAGACCCTTTCCTCAAATCCCTCTAAACAACAAAGTTGGGCATCCTGTATGCCTCCTTAACTTCTGTGTTAGCCTGTCCTATCATCTTCAGAAATCCAGACAAGCGCCCAAGATGTCTCCTCTTTGAGCTTCCTAGTATCTTGCCATTCATTGAGTACTCCCTTGTCTTGTTCTTCCTTCCAAAGTGCACCTCACTTTTATCTGTGTTAAATTCCATCTGTCACTGATCTGCCCACCTGATCAATTTGTTTACACCCTCCTGTAATGTAACCGCATCCTCTTCATTGTCAACCACCCCAGCCAATTACTTTATTGCTCTTGCAATAAGCAAGCTTGCACACAGTGCAGTAAAGGATGCAGTGTTGGCCCTTGTGGTGCACCATTGCACACTGGGCTCCAGTTACAAACACCCTTTTATCACCACCCTCTGTCTCCTGTCGCTCCAGCCAGTTTTGGATCCAATTCTTTATTAGATTCCCATGTGGGACCTTGTCAAAGGTCTTATTGAAATCCATATAAACTATATTAACTGCCCTACCCTCACCCAACACTTAGTCACCTCCTTGAAAAATTCCATTAGATTTGTTAGGTATGACGTCCCTCTGAGACATTGCTGACTATTCCTGATCAAACTTCGCATTTCTAAATGGAGATTAATTTTCTCATTCTCTATTTTCTCTAATAGTTTCCCTATCATTGATGTTAGAATCTTATTGGTCTGCAGTTCTCTGGTCTATCACGATCACCCATCTTGTACTGCATTATTTGTTCTCTTATCTTCTGGCACCTTCCCTGTGACCAAAGCTGATGTAAAAATTTGGGTCAGGGCCTCTGTAATATCCTCCTTTGTCTCCCATAACAGTCTGCGATACAACTCATCCGAACCTGGGGATTTGTCTACTTTTAGATCTGTCAAAACCTCCAGTATCTTCTCACTGTTTGTATCAATCTACCCGAGGATGTCAAAAGTTTATGTTCTTGAATTCTGTACTTGGATCTTCCTTCTCCCAAGTAAAGACAGATGTGAGGCATCCAGTGTTCTCTGGCTTTGTGCACTGATTACCCCCTTGCTCCCTGATTATTCTCTTTCCCCTTTGATGTACCTGTAGAATATTTTGCAATTCTCCCAGTTGTAGCTGACAGCATTTTCTCATTGCTTCTTTGCTCTAAATGCTTTCTTGAGGTCCCCCATGCATTTTCTGTATTCCTCTAGGGCCTCCATTGTTTTGCTGCTTTTGTGCATTTCTTTTCCTTTTTCGTTTTTATTCAGTTCTGAATATCATAGAAAGTAGAGCTTGGGATTCTATAATTCTTTATTCCTGTAAGTAACTAAAAATACATTATATTTGACTTGAAATTACAGATTAATGGTACCTATAAACATACATAAAAGCCTGTTATGTATGTAGCCCCAATTGGTTTTCTTGATCTCCAAAATTAAAGTACTCTGGATAATGTATAATCCAACCAACATTTTGTATACAGCGCTGTGCTGAACAAATTTTAGAGATGTTGTCACTTGCGGCAAGTGAAGTACCTCCAGCATTTCTTTGCATAGTCGTGTTTCAGTTAACTGAGCCATTGCAACAGCCAGACAATGACTTAGTTTTTTTTTCCCACTGAGTTGTTAAACCGTGTTTAACCTTTCAATACAGCACTGACGTTTCTGATTAGATGATAGAGTTCAAATTGCTTGTGTGAATCTCATGGGAACGTCAAGATATTTTTGGCAATAATCATAAGATGCTGTTGTTTTGGTGTTTGTTCAGAAGTTCTGGGTGTATATTGAGAATAGATGAGGTTTAGGAGCCCTTTAAGTCTCCATAACGGTAGTTGGGGGAATTGAACTGTTTAAAAGCACAAGATCATAGGATATAGGAGCTGAATTCGGCTATTCAGCTCATTGACCCTGCTTTGCCATTTGATGATGGCTGATCTGTTTCTCAACCCCATTCTCCTACCTTCTCTCCATAACCTTTTACCAATTAAGAACCTATCTATCTGTGCCTTAAATATACTCAATGACTTGGCCTCCATAGCCGTCTACAGTAACTAGTTCCACAGATTAGCCACTCTCTGGCTAGAAAAAGTTCCTGCTCGTCTCAGTTCTGAATGATAGTTCCTTCACTCTGAGGCTGTGCACTCAGGTCCTAGTCTATCCAGGCCTCTCAGTATCCTGAAAGTTTCAACCAGATCCCCACCCCCATCTGTCTGAACTCCATCAAATACAGACCCAGAGTCCTCAACTGCTCCTCATATGTCAAGACCAAGCTCTCACTCTTGTAGACCTCCTCTGGACTCCCTTCAACACCAGTTCCTCCTCCTTTAGATGTGGGGTCCAAAACTGCTCACAATATTTCAAATGTGATCTGATTAGAGCCTTAAATAGCCTCAGCAATACGTCTCTGCTATCGTATTCTACCCTCTTGAAATGAGCAAACATTGCATTTGGCTTCCTAACTGCCAACTGAACCTGCATGTTAACCTTAAGAGAATCCTTAACTAGGACTCCCAAGTCCTTTTTTATTCTTCAGATTTCCGAAGCTTTTTCCTGATTTTGAAAATAGTCTACACCTCTCTTCTTCCTACTTAAGTGCATAATGTCACACTTTCCCATATTGTATTCAGTGTGCCACTTCTTTGCCGATTCTTCTAGCCCATCTGAGTCTTTCTGCAGCCTCTCTTGCTCAACACTGCCTGTCCCTCCACCTATCTTTGTGTCAACTGCATCATAAGTTTAATAATCACAGACCTTCCAATTTGACTGGCTTTGACCACATTGAGTTAATGTTTAAACAAATAGCAAAATACCACAGATACTTGACTGGAATAAAAACATAGCACTGGAAAGTCAGCAGCTGTTTAGACAGAAATGGTGGATTTTTAAAATTTCTGCTTTTTCCATTAAGATTTGGAAGTGTTTTTTTAAAAAAGTTTTACATTCACTCACTTCTTGATATCTTGTGATATGCTATCCATGGATCCGCATACTTGTGATTCCCTCGTAGACTCATTCAGCCTGATTGCATGACCATTTGTGGCAGATAGGAGAGTTGCATGGTAGTGAAATCCACATTTTCTGTTATTTGCATAAATGTGTACCCCTTTCCCTTGTAGATAATGAGGATTTTTGTGTATCATGCTCTAAGCAAAATTAGTGTACAGCTGTTTAGGAATCAGTTAACAGGATCAAACTTGAGATTTTCCTGATTAATCATTTCTTGCCTTGAAGCGATTTACCTGCATGGAGAGATTATTGATGAGACCACATCTCTAACACTGCCATTTTGGCGTCCTTATTTAAGGAAGAACGTGAAAGCATTGGCAGTGCTTCAGAGGAGGTCTAGTAGATTGATACCTGGGATGAGTAGGCTATTTTATGCGGAAAGGTTGGACATTGGGCATGTTTCCGCTGGAGTTTAGATGGGTGAGGTATGACTTTATTGAAGGTACAATGGTATTTTTATAAGATGAATATAGAAAAGATGTTTCCTCTTGTGGAGGTAGTAGGAACTGCAGATGCTGGAGAATCCGAGACAACAAGGTGCAGGGCTGGATGAACACAGCAGGCCAAGCAGCATCATAGGAGCAGAGAGGCTGACGTTTCGGGCCTAGACCCTTCATCAGAAAAGGGGGAGGGGAAGGGGGTTTTGAAATAAATAGGGAGAGAGTGGGAGGC